AAATTTTACAACCGAATGATAACTAAGGGTTTCATTCTGGAGGATTTAAAGTGATTAAATCCTTAATTTGTACCAAACGCAATGCCCAAACGTTTGATAGTAAAAAAATAGAAAAATAGTAGAATAAATTGCGAAAATTAAATAAATTGCAAGAATAAAAAAGAAATATAACTTTGTATTGAGATACAAGAATCTGTCTTACAATTATTACAAAATATCATATTCATAGAATCTAAAGCGTGTTTACCAATAGACGTTCTAACCTATTAGAAATATGAATAGACGCAACCCTTCGTACAGGAAATAAGAAATTTATAATAATTAATATTTATTTTCTAATTAAAAATAAATTTGGGATTTTATAAAAATACCCATACTGGATAATCTTGAAATGTTGTAACAAATCTTGATATTTTGTTAATAAAAATCTAAGATGTTATAATCAAGATAAAATCAGTGATATCTGATTTTAGCCGCTAATTCACAGCCAAAATCAATTTTCCGCTATTTTTCTTTTTTCTTGTTTTGTTGCCACAATCTTCAAGTAGTATTTGTGGTTTGATTCTTCTTTATATTTCTATCCACGTACATGTTTATTTGTCCATGCAAATACCAACCCCGACTTTTCCACGGTAACTCATTTAATTTCTTAAAAACATAATTTTCCTCTTGTCTATGGATTTTTTTTTTCTTTTTTTTTCTTTGTCCATGGACATATCAATGATTTTTAACTTATCCATAGAACCAAATTTAAAAGATATTTTTTTCCTTGTCCATGAATTTCAAATTTTTCATTGATTTTTTTTCAATGTTACATGCCTTTTCGATGGAAACAGTAACATAGGCAGTCCTTCGGTCTCAAATTTATTTTATTCCAGAACTATTATTGTATTAACTTACACACTAGGGTGGCTTTTAAGGAGTTGGTCGCCATTGAAATGCTTATACGCCTCAACTATTTGATGCTTCTGGATGATTAATTTTTGGTAATATAAAAAATTGCATTGGTCTGCGTAATATCAAACAAAAAATCCTTGTTCAATATCTTGGGCACGTCTTTATCCTTTGGAGGTTTAAGATTGGAGCAAGTATAAGGCTTTTCTGGTACCAGTTCTGTTGTGGCCTCTTCAATAAAATTGGAAGTTCATGCTCGTTTATCATATCCTCCACATTAATTACAACAATCTAGTGTCTGCCTCGTTCGCCTCTGCTCTCTTTCTTATGAAAAAGACGTTCAAGGCGTGCACCCCTAGCTATTAATTGTGTCAACTCTTGCACTTCATGGGCTCTAAGTGAATTATGAAGACGCAACAAAATTTTCTTGACTATATTGGCCAGTTTGGCTTCGCTTATAATTATTTGATAACAAGCTTTTGTTCATCTGATTTTCTCGATAAAGGTAACAGCTTATTCACTGAACTATTTTTTTGTTTCCATTAAATCTGTGAGTGTAGTCTCTGGTATAGGACTATAAAACTGTTGTCATGAAACTCTCGCTCCATTTTAGTCCAACTTTGTATGAAGTCAATGCGGCGGGATGAATACCAGGTAAACGCAGTCCTAGTAAGAGTTAAAGGGAATAATTGCAACTTATAAAATTCATTATGTGACAATTCCCCAATAAGTATCGTAAACCTGGCTACATGTTCAACAAAAGATTGTACATCTTCTCCGGAGAATAGTAAGGATTCTAAAATCCTGACTTGTCGCGGCTATGGATAATTACGTTCTACCCATTCCTGAAAGGGTTTCCTATATGCAAGATCATGTGGCCATAACCTTGATCATCCAAGTGTTGATGCACAACATCCTGAATAATCCGAGCCACACAGGATTATACCCTTGTGTTGGTTGTAATAATTGTTGAGGATTCCATACTAGTCGTGGTTCCAATACATTATTCAGCCTTGGAAACACTGGTGGTACTTGGGCTTGATGAAAGTTACGCGATGTCCCAGAAAAGTTCCCATATGGAGTAGTAGTTTGATGTTGAGGAACATTATGTGTATATGGTTCGCCAGTACGCATACATGGTTTGCCATTGTACACTTGTGCCATGCTTTGTGGCACATTGTAAGTCTGGGTGGTGTTGGCATATGTAAACAATGGTGTAGGCATTTGCAACCAATGTTAGCCATGATTTCTAAACTCGACCGAAGTAAGCGGCCGCAAATGATATGTTACACCACATTCCATTTGGGAAACCGGTGGGGTGTTTGCACTTGTTATCCATTGGGTTGTAGCAAAAAAATTGTGAACGAGTTGCTGGCATATTTCTTTGGGTAGTACAGTTGTACTATCGTGGGTGGGCAGGTTTGATGCTTCTTGGCCATTAGATGGCTGCAGTCTTTCCGTCCGGGTCGGAATAAATCCTTCTGGGATGGATATGGGAGGTGGTGGAAGACCTGAGGATATCGTGTGAACGATATTGGTTTATTCTGCAGATGTCACCATTTCAGAACGAGCCATCAAACGACGTACTAGTCTTCCTGATCGTAACCTAATGAATTTAGAATAATTTTCCATAAGGAACAAATTATTGTTCCACTGGACGTGCCAAAATGTTACCGTTGGTTAAAAATTTTCCAACCGGATGATAACTAATGGTTTCTTTATGGAGGAATTCGAGTGATTAAATCATTATTTCGTACCAAACGCAATGCCCAGACATTTGATAGTGAGAAATTAGAAAAAAAAAAGTTGAAAGAAGTGCGAAAATTAAATAAATTGCAGGAATAAAGAGGAAATATAAGTTTGTATTGAGATGTGTGAATCTGTCTTACAATGATTACAATATATCCTATTGATATAATCTAAAAGGTGTTTACCAATAGACGTTCTAACCTATTAAAAATATGAAGGGACGCAACCATTTGTACAGGAAATAAGAAATTTATAATAATTAATATTTATTTTATACTTAAATCTAAATTTGGGATTTTATCAAAATACCCATATTGGATATTCTTGAATTCTTGTAAAAAAATCTTGATATTTTCCCGATGAGAATTCAATATATTATAATCAAGATAAAATCCGATATCATATTAGATTTTCAGCCGTTAATTCGCACCCAAAACTAATTTTCTGGAATTTTCCTTATTTCTTGTTTTAAGGCCACATTCTTTAAGTAGTGTCCGCGGTTTGATTTTTCTATATGTTTATGTCCATGTACATGTTTATTTGTCCATGCAAATTGACGCGAACGTCCAATCTTCAAGGATTCAAATGTCTGTGGGACCTAACACTCGAAGCCGAGCTCGTCAGCTTTAAGAATCCATCACTGTGTTGACCCGACGATTTTTTATGGAGAATCAATTTAAAGATGATGTTTGGTGACCACTTAGCCCTCACTTGATACTACTTCAATGGGACCCGCAAAAATCAAATTGAAAGATCAAGAGAATCGCTAATTATGACAGATTATAAAGAGAATTACAAATTATGGAAGATTATCAAGAGAATCATCACTTATGGAAGCTTTTAGAAGTTACCTTAATATAAATCTCCTTTTATTATAGGTTTTCATATAATATAATTTCATATCTAGAACTTTCCTTATTATTTATTTCCTTATAGTTAGACTTACCTTTTGGTTTGTTTTCTTTATTATTTGTTGTCTTTTATTTTCTCAAGGACTTCTATATAAGGTATTTGTCTATCTTTGTAATGAGAATTTTTTACATCTTGAATCAAATTTCACTTTTATAATTTTGTAGTGTTAGAGAATGATTTTCTAACATTTAGAGTTTCAAATCAGATATTTGAAGTGATTCTATCGGTTCGTGGCTTCCAATCATTTGCAGTGGGATTTAGCCTATTGTTTATGTTTTAATCTATGGTTTGATTTCAGGTCCGAGACTTATTCTCGTGGTTGGTTATCATTCATGTTAAGTCACATTCTCTGGACCATTCTTTCTTCTTTATCCTCCCTTCTTTCACATATATTCCGAACCATTGGTTCAATTAACCTTTATGGCTAAGGAAATTTTTCTGGGCATAATTATACATGGCCGGGCTATGTCATCTGGTATCAGAGTCATGTGCTTAAGTTTTCTATCAATTTGAGTCGATCCTAATCAAGTTTTTTTTCAAAAAAAAATAGAAAAAAAAAAGTGCTAATCAAAAGACACTACCAAAAAAACCGTAATGTTTATTTGCTACGCCTTAGTGACGACTTTTATCCGTAATGTGTACTCGCGCAACGAATGTTTTTTGCCACGCACATTTTTGTAACTACTACTCTTGGTCAACGATCCTTATGGCAAGCTTTTTGTTACGATATTTGTTACAATTTTTTCTCGTAATAAAAAGTCGAGCTTTCCACACGTGTGCCAGGTCTTTTAGTCACGATATTTGTTACAACAATGCCTTGCGTTACCAAAAAATTTTACTCTGACCCCTTGTCAGAGTACGTTTTTTGTTACGATTTTTTGTTACGTCATTGAAGCCGTAATTAAAAATATATTCTCTTATGGTCACGAATCTGGCCGTAACAAAATATCCCTTCATATTTGTTAAGTTGAAAAACCACTTTTCGTTACATCATTTCATTTTTTTGTTACGTCATTTATTTTTTTGTTACGTCATTGAACCCTTAACAAAAATATCCATTCTTATGGTCACGGAACCGGTCATAACAACAAACACCAAAACCAACATTTTGTTACGTCATTTCTTGTTTTTGTTACAAAAAAATAGCGTCTCATAAAAAAGAGTAGTTGTGGAACAATTGAATTTGTGTGTAACAAATTAACCTGTTGTTATCTTTCTTGTACAACCATGCTATAAATATTACGATCGGCCATAATTGAAAACAATACGCACTATAAGGAAATCCCAACATAGGATATTAACATAACCGTGTTTACTAGTCGATGTCCTACAGCAAACAACAAAGTAAATTAACCCATCAAACAAGGCTAGTAACATCTCCACTTCGACATTATGTTCCATTAAACACAAGCATTTCAAACATCCAACCTAGTAATAAGCAAGTGGGGAGATCCATCAATCTATAGCAATAATTCTTACCACACAAAAGATGCATCCAAATGTCTATGCATCTATTTCATAGGTATTTCACATAGCCATTAGAACCTACCATCCAAGAACATCCACGACATGCAATTGATAATGCAAACAGAGGCGAAACATAAAGGAACCGGTCGATATCCTTCAGGGGTGGCGCATGAGCTGCAATTACGAACAGAATAAGGTTTAGTTTAAGTAATAATTATTTTAATTTTGGAATCCGTACGTGAAAGTTGTGAAAGTAGATCCATACATCCTTATAGTTCCACTCAATAGGATCTTCACCGACAACCTCGCGAAAGGTAGTCGCCCCAGCAATTTTCGGCAAAATAAAGGGTGTGTCCAGGACTGCGGCGGATGTAACGAAAACCTTGACCAAGGAAAGTGTGTCACCTACAACATTCACAAGAGCAATTTAAAAGTATGTAGTTCACTGTATATATCAACACATTAAATTGTACATAAAATATGTCATAAATTATTTGAAGTGTATATTTCCCAACTTATATACCACGAGTATTTACATTCGGACATGTACTACGATACATGATATTTGACCCATTAATTAGGCACCAAACTACACTACTTTCTAATTTTCAATGTGTTTGCAACTCGAACTATAAACCAGCCATTCACAAATAAAACCTACGTAAAGCAGCAGATCATGCACAATATTAAAATAATAATTTCAATAATTAATAATTCCTTACGGTTACCCTCCAAATAGGACTGCTCCATGTATGTGTTGTAGTATCATGCCATTGGAAATTAATTATCATTTATGCACTAAATATGAGCAGACCCCCGCAGATGAGTTCAAGTTCAGAGTAACGACGAGTGATAAATCAAAATATATGTTAGTGATCCTCACCACATAAAAACCTATTATGTGCAGGTCGGGACTACATAACGACTCAATAATAAAGCATCCATTCATCGGTTTTGGGACTGTAGTGTGTGCCTAAATAGTATAATAACAGCATAGCCATAAACAATGTCATGTCAACGATAAAAAATATAAGATCAGCACAGAATCAGCATTACACAAACATAGCCACTGTCCCTACAATAACAGCCTATATATACACAATACTCTAACTACTACATATGTCAAATTAAAGATGCCCATACTTAATAAAACCATAATCAATTACACTATGAGACATGTACGGTCACAACATCGACAATGCGATATGAACATCATATTGAAGGATTTAAAAGAATAAAATTAAGGCACAATGCCACGAACCTGGTACGGGGGGCTGAGCAGAAGTCCCTTAGCAACAAGTTTCTTCTCTCTGGTACGAGATAATATAAGCACACGGGTGCCAACCTACAATAAAGATTGCAGAGGAGTTGGAAGCATACATGTTGGAAATGAAGGTTAGCCTAAATTTGGCACTTAGTTAACTTTAGGGTTTCACAAAATCATACCGTCATAGGTGATTTAGAGACAGGCCTAAGAAGCTCAGAGACCGTATCAATACGAGTTGTGGCCTATGAAGAATAAACAGATCGTAGTAAATTTTTTAGCCATTCAAAGCTCGTAGGATGCAATTAAAGAAAGTATGAATATTAAGAATACTTACAGATGGGCCACTAACTGCTACGGAGTTTCTGTACATGAATGCATACACATCAGCCTTGATGGTTTTGAACTCAGCCATCGTTGCCTTCAACTCTGCAACTCCACTATGCATTTCTTCCCACCCTTCCTGGAATGCTACAGTATCTGTTAAACCAGTTGCCTCACTGCGGGGATGAGCTGAACTGGCGGCACTGTCAACCTTTGAGCGTTTTTTAGTCTTTCCCCCAAGAGCCCGTCGGTAAAGAGTCTCCCGAACAGCCGGATACTAGATACTAGAGCAGCAAGAATTATCCATACCCTACTTGTGTTAAGAAAAATTTCTAAGTATTCTAAATTTTTCCTTGCCCTTTTGTACGAATATAAAAAAAAATCCTCAAATCTAATGTTCAAAGAATATTTCAGGTTTGTGGGAATGCACACAACACTTAACTACACCACCACCCGAGAAAACATAGACCACTTAGAAGCTTTGCACAGTGGAAATGCATTAAAAAGAAATCAGACCTTCCGTTGCCTTCAAGTATGCTTATCCTGAATTCACACTGCACGTCTTTGTCTCCACAATTTAGTATCCTGTAAAAAAACACAACTTAAATATGCACTCATTTTTAGTAAAAATAGCACAAACTACTACAAAAGTCACACACGCACTACTTTGCAATATCCATTCTTTATTGTAGGATTGAATTGGTACATATATATCACTTTTAGTATTACATGCTGATGAAGGGATTGAAAGTGCAACATAAGCCTTTGAATTAGTTCCTTCATTAGTTTATCATAAGTGACTGTTGTTGACACTATAAATTCTAGGATCTCGACACTATGTGAAATTAACACACATACTAAAACCATGATGCATATTTTTTCCACGGGTATACATTGTTTTATAAAAAGAACGAGGTTATTCACATTGTTTAGAAACAAATGACATTTATTTCTATGCAAGGCACATATTGTGTATTCATAACTAACACAAAATCTTCACAATATAAAGGGAAAACCGACGTTGTATACCTCCCTAACAGGAGTAACAAATATAAAAAACATGGCCAAATACTTTTCGATAATCGCAAATCTTTCTTATGAAACCAGCAACTATGTACTATTACATAAAATGTGTGTCGGGTCTCATACCAACTGTTTATTTAAATTTGAGATCAGAATCAGCTTTGATGTATCCATTTCCACCCTGATTTTAGGTGTTTTGTATGTTTAAAATCATCATTATCATGTCCGTCATCTAAACTCTATCCTAACTAGTCGTGGCTCTAATTAAGTCTAAGATACAAGGATTAAATACATTATACAACATAGTGTTAGTTTTTTCAACCATTTAGATGTTTGCAAATGAACAATGAGATACTTGAAGCCCATAATCATGCAGGATTTAGATAAGATGACCTCCAGTTTTACAAGGTATTCAGAATTTTCTGCAGCTAGAAGATACAAAAATTAGAGACTAGGGTAGTACACATTTAAGGAATTTATCCCAAATTACATAACAACAGATGCAAAATCAGATAAACAAAATGAGATGTCAGCAGCCATAGCTGAAGAAAGTTGAATGCTGAAATATTCTTAGGACATAAGCCACATAACTTGTCAATCACTTACCGCAGAAGGTGATGCTGGGTTTCGGAAAACTTTAGAACCTCCAGGAGCCCAAGGAAGTGTTTACAGAAAAGGAACATTAGCACTCACATATTGTTGAAATTAATAAGTGCAATGGTATTAATTGTACAAATTGATTTCGATGGTTGTAGTTTGAGATTAGCAAGAAACAAAACAATGTGGTTTCAATCATGTAATATCACACTATATGAGCATAGCAAGATCAACATGCATCCTTAGGTTGCAAAAAATAAGATCCAATCATTGATATAACAGGCTGCATCATAGATGTTACACGCCACACGTTTCGATATACATATTCAATTCTAGAAATAGTTAAACAAGGGTTACCCTTCAATTTAAATTATTCTAAAATATAAATAAGCATATATCCAATCAAATATTATAACATAACAGTTAGGATGAAAAATTTTAATAAGACACAATTAAAATTAAGATAAAAAAAGTTGCACATAACCTAGGGCAGCCCGCTGTGTAGATTTCAACTATGAAATCTCATTCTAAATTTAGTTCAATTAAATCATACCAATCACCGGAGAAATCCTAGAGTCTTATTAGATATCATCAACAAACGATCTTTCTGCAAATAAAATTAAAAAAATCAACCTCAATAGCTTGCTCTAGACACAGACCTGAACAAAGAGAAAGCAATCATGGCATACCCAAACCCACTCCCCAAATCGACTAGTCCGTATGAACCTAAAGAAGGCAACTTTTTTGTGTTCCTCAAAATATCAGTTTGAGAATGCAATTGACGAAGAACCGTAGGTCCACACTGAATCTTATTGGACAAAACCTAAACACCTTACCTGAACGCCGGCGCCGGAGTAGCTTGTCAATCCAACCAATTTGACGATGATGGTTGTGTCGGCGGAAGGAGGGGGGAGTACAGTGCAGTACGAAGGAGGATAACAGCGCGGGGGGGGAATAATGTGTGCCCTACTTTCTGTATTTGAGATTTTTGGGTGAAGACTCGACAATGCGTGTTTACATATATATATATATTTTAATTTTTTAAAAATTTCAAATATTAAATTTAAATGGAAAAAATAAATTAAAATAATTAGTTATGAAAATTGATCATAACCAATATTATTTTGACCGAAATTTTCCATATTCCTAATTGTTACGTAAAATTCTGCGTAACTACTGTGCCTGAAACATTGACCGAACAAAAATTATTTTGTTACGGATTTTATCGTAACCAAAATATCTATTTGTTAAGATGATATTGTTACGAACCCACAACCCGTGGTTATTACCTTGTTTTTTTGGTAGTGGGAGAGCACAAAAAAAAAAAAAACAAAAAAAAAAAGAAAAAGAAAAAAGAAAAAAGGAAACCAAAGAGTAAAAAAAAAATGAAAGAAAGAATAGTATCAAATCTCAAGATATTTGTTATTTACTTCTATTCCCAAATCATCTTCCCTTTTATCCCAAAAAGAAAAAAATCTATTCAGATTATTTGTCTTGTACGTCCATTCTCAATTTACATTTATTTTACTTCCACTACTATTTTGGAATTTTTTTTTTTTTTGCTATCGTCTTTAGGAAAATTTCATCGATTTGAATTGAGTCTTTTTTGCGAAACGGAGAGGTAAATAAAGTGTGGAGTGATACGAGAGTTCTTGTGAGGTTTTTTTTTTTTTTTTCCTTTCTTCTCTCTCAAATGGCGAGAGGTAAAGGATCCAGATACGAGAGTTCTTGTGAGGTTTTTTTTTTTTTTTCCTTTCTTCTCTCTCAAAGGCGAGAGGTAAAGGATCCAATTCTGAACAAGTTGATGTACAATGCATTGATCACGACTACCTTAAGTACATTAAGAGTCAATCTAAATTGTACAAGAGGCATGCTCGTTGGATTGCATTAATTAGAATATTTCCTTATATTGTTATAAGAAAGGGATGAAGATTGTAGTTGTTAATGTGTTGTCTAAGCCTACGTATCTACTTACTACTTTGATATCACGATTGATAGGATCTATATTTGTGAAGGACTTTCAGGAGTATGATTTATATTTTATATCTTTGTCAAAATTTCAAAAATTGGGATTTAATGAGAACTTTTTGCATGATGGAATTTTGTACAAGTCTTACATAATGGGTATCATTCCTAAAGGATTGTTTAGACTTGTGGTTACTAATAAAACCCATGAATATGGACATACGAGATACTTCGGTGTCACAAAAACTTAGAAGTTGTTGTAGGAAAACTTCTATTGGCCTGCAATGTACGCTGATTTGTTAAGCATATTTTGTAATATATGGTGAGGCAAGCCAAACCCACGGTGAAGATGCGTGATTTAGTCAAATATGTTCCAAACATGCCTTGAGTTGATGTTAACATGGATTTTCTCTTGGGATTGTCCCGAAAAAAATGAGATAAGGCTTCACGGATGGTAGTAGTAGATTGTTACTTGTTGCAAAATTATTGTTGGCATGCATATTGCTAGCTTACTTTTCGAAGAAATTGTAAGTATGCATGGAGTGTCCATCTCTATTATTTCTACTTGTGTCACAATGCTTTTGAGTTGTTTTTGGAAAATTATTTTTGGAGAGTTGGTATTCTTAATCTCATACCACACACAAACTGTTGAAAAGATTGACGTGATTCCTAGCACTTTACTTCGGTATAGTATTAAAAAAGAATTTATCTACTTGGAAAAATTGTTTGCTACACATATAATTTTCTTTTGATTGGATCATACATGTTGCTTCTAGTATGTCTTATGTTGAAATTGTCTATGGATTTTACCCACTTACCCTACTTGATTTGGCGCCATTTCTAAGCAATGAGCAATTTCATAAGGATTTCAAGAAACAAGCACCAAAGACACAACAAATTCACCAAGAAGTACATCAACTGAAATGGCAATATTCACAAATCGAAAATCATGTTAACTTATCTTGCAACATAGTGATTTTTCAACATAGGCATGGATTATGGTTGCACCTTTTGAATGAGAGATCTCGAACCAAAAGAATGTTCAAATTGTCCCTAAAAGAAGATGGTCAATTTCAATCGATTGAGTACATAAGCTACTATTCCTCTATCTTGGATTTACAAGGTAAGTACAATATATATGAAACTTTTGAGGATTCTAACTCAACTTTTTTTTTTTTATATAGGTGATGAACGGTTTATGGCACAACCTTTTGAAGAAGGATTAGATAATGTGACCATCATGAGTTTATCAAGAGAATTACAAATTATGAAAGATCATCAAGAGACTCATCACTTATGGAAACTTCGAGAAGTTATCTTAACATAGATTTCCTTTTATTACAAGTTTTCATATAGTATAACGTCACATCTAGAATTTTCCTTATTATTTGTTATCTTTTTGTTTGTTTTCTTTATTATATGTTGTCTTTTATTTTTCTCAAAAACCTCTATATAAAGTCCTTGCTTATTATTGTAATGAAACAATTTTACATCTTGAATCAAATTTTACTTTTATAATTTTCTAGTCTTACGGAGTGATTTCCCCGCAGAGTCTCAAATTGGGTCTTTGGAGTGATTCTATCGGTTCCTTGCAGTGGGATTTAACCTATTATTTGTCTTTTAGTCTTTGATTTTGATTTCAGGTTCGAGACTTATTAGCATTGTTGGTTATCATCCATATTAATTCACATTCTCTACACTATCATTTCTTCTTCATTTTTTTTTCATTCATTCATATTCTGAATTCATTGGTTCTATTGAACTTTGTGGATAAGAAAAATACTTTGGATTTAATTATACATGGTCAAACTGTGTCATCTGGTATCAGAGCCTTGTGCTCAAGTTTTCTATCAATTTGAGTTGATCCTAGTCAAGTTTTTTCCAAAAAAAAAATAATAATAGTCTCTGCTAATCAAGAGACGACACAAAAATAGCAAAAAGAAAAAGCTCAAAAAAACAAAAAAAAAATTATTATTATTATTTACTTCTATTCTCAAATCGTCTTTCCTTTTATACAAAAAAAAAATCTATTCAGAATATTTGTCTTCTACTTTCATTCTCAATTCATATTTCTTTTGTTTTCACTACTGTTGGAATTTTTTTGCTATCATCTTTGGGAGAATTTCATCGATTTGAATTAAATCCTTTTTGCGAGACGGAAAGGTACATGAGGTGTGGAGTAATTCACAAGAGTCTTTGTGAGGTTATTCGTTCTTTATTCTCTTTTTAATAGCAGGGGCAAAGAATTCAATTCCCAACAAGTTGATGCATAAAGTGTTCTCAATACCATTCTACATGAGTTTAAAACTCTTCACCATTCTGGATTAGAATTAATGAATAATAGGATGAATCAACTGGAACAGAATCAACATAAGTTATAAGAGAACATATGACTGTTATCTAAAGCTCAGAGGTGAAATGATGTTTAACCGCTTTTTAGGCCAAGTCATAACATCCGGACCCTATCCCCACACAACTTTGACGAGCCCGATGATGAGGAGTTTGAAAGAAATTGAGAACGACCTAGGAATCGTAACAACCATAACAAACGAGATGGAGATGAGGCTATCAACTTGATCAAATTTCAAGTGCTACCGTTTCAAGGAAAATCCGACCCTGAAATATGCTATTAGTTTTTAAACAATGGGATTAAAATTGATTGAAATGGTTTATATTTGAACTAAAATTGATGAGTTTTTTAGAATCAGACAAAAATTGATGAGTTTTTTATATTCGGACAAAAAATGATTAACTTTGATTATATTGAGACCAAAATTAATTTTTCTTTTATTTTTTTATTAGATGCCGATTTCCATTTGCATATATTTGATGACGGGTCTTTCTTTCTCTTCAAGATCCATATATTATTTTTTTTTCTCGAAAGATATAAATTATGATTAATTTATTTTATTGACAAATATATTAAAACTCTATATATATACAAATAATATTTGATAGTTATGGTACAAAAATTTATATATATGCAATTAAATCCCACATATTTATTTTATTTAAATTTTATTTTCTTATAAAATTAAGGTAAAATTGCTTATAACTCCCCTGTGGTTTCAAAATTCAGTGTAAAATCTCCCTGTACTTTAAAAATTGCATGGTACCCCCTTATATATTTTGCATGGCAGAGGGGGTTTTATGCAATATTTTTTAAAGTATAAGTGAGCGTCATGCAATTTTTTAAAGTAAAATGGGGACTTATACTGAGTTTCGAAACCACAAAGTGGTTTTATGCAACATTTTTTAAAATATAAGGGGACGTCACGTAATTTTTAAAGTAGAGGGGGAATTTACGCTGAGTTTCGAAACTGCAAGGGAGTTATGGGCAATTTTGCCTAAAATTAATAATATTTAATTGAATTTAGCCATAGTTACTTTTTAATACCTACAAATATCTATTTATATTGTAACAAATAATTATTTAAATTAAATTTTTTATTATTTAAAACTTAAACCTAGTAACCTAAATGTCAAACAACTTTGTAAAAAGAAATAATTTTTTATAAATATCTAGTAAAAAATAATAAACAAGATACACATCCAAAAGAACATAACAATCATTTTGGTTACATTTTGTGTGTGACCTTTCTTCGTCTTTTATTTTTATTGTCTATTGCGAATTTTGGGAAATTGAAATTTTGAATTGTATTGCAATAAACACAATAAACTCTACTTTATATGTATAAGGGTATTTTGGTAAATACGTATATATATACAATATTATATATATATTAACATCCCTCATCAAACTCAAAGTGGGTAGACATCAACTTGAGTTTGCATAAAAGAAGATGGAAATGACCGGGAAGAAGAGATTTGGTGAAGAGATCTGCCTGTTGATCATCTGTGAAGATCGAACACAACAAAATAGTCTTGGAAACCAAGTGTTGCCGTACAAAATGACAACCAATTTCAATGTGCTTCGTGCGCTCGTGAAAGACATCATTATGAGGAATCTGTATGGCACTCTGACTGTCGCAATGAAGAGTAGTAGATAAGGACTAGGGGACACCAAGATCAGACAGTAACCAACGTAGCCATAAAAGTTTGGATGTAGAATCAGCAAGAGCACGATACTCGGACTCAGCATTAGACTTAGAGACAACTGTCTGCTTCTTGCTGCGCCAAGAGACCAAAGAGTCACCAAGAAAGAAAAAAAAACCAGTAGTAGAGCGACGATCTGTGGGATCACCAGCCCAATCTGCATCAGAGTGGCCGGCAAGAATCAAGGAGGAGCGAGCCGAAAAGTGGAGACCATGAAGAAGCGTGCCTTTAACATAGTGAAGAATACGGAGTACGGTAGAATAATGTGTAGTCCACGGAGTAGCCACAAACTGACTAAAAATATGAACGGCATGAGCTATGTCAGGACAAAAAACAGTAAGATAAATCAAGGAACCAACAAATTGACGATAAATAGTCGGATCGTCAAGTAAAGAGCTATCCTGAGGGGTGAGGCGACTGTTCGCCTCAAGAGGTGTGAAGATGATCTTGCGATCAGTCAGCCCAGTACGAGAGATAAAAGATCAGACGCATACTTGGCCTGAGATAAGAAAAAGCCATCCAAAGTGTCAGAAATCTCAAGACCCAAAAAATAGCGAAGATGACCAAGACACTTCATCTCAAAGTACTGACGAAGGTAGGTCTGCAAATTAGAAATACCAGAGATGTCTTCCCCAGTGATAATCATATCGTCAACATACAACAGAAGAATAATAATCCCAGAAGAGCTTCGACGAATAAAGAGAGCCGAATCATGAGCACTAGAAGAAAAACCATATTGAGTAAGAACGGAGCTGAATTTGGAAAACCAAGCGCGGGGAGTCTGTTTCAAACCATAGAGAGCCCGACACAATTTCCATACCTTGTCGGATGTCTCAATACCTTGAGGGGAAAGTCATGTAGACATCGTCGGTCAAATCACCATGCAAGAAGGCATTCTTAACATCCAACTGACGCAGGGACCACTGACGAACAACAGCAATCGCAAGTAAGCACCGAATAGTGGTAAGACGAGCAACTGGAGCAAAAGTTTCCTCGTAGTCAATACCATACTCCTAAGAATACCCCTTCGCCACAAGACGAGCTTTGTAACGCTCAATCGAACCGTCAGAGTGAGTTTTAATCTTATAGACCCATTTGCACCCAATAGGGTGTTGCCCGTCAGAAGAGGCATAAGGTCCCAAGTGCCTGTAGTTCCTCTGACATAGCTTGCCACCACAAAGGATCGGTATTCACCTCCCGAAATGACCTGGGTTCATGATGAGACAATATGGCAGAGTAGCAATGATAGTCAAAAAGATAAGTGGAAGGCTGACTTACACGAGTAGAATGGCGGGGAGTGACAGCAGGGACATTAGGAAAGGGCTCGGACACAGGCTCAGGAACCACAGGCATGTCCGCTGGAGAAGACGGGGACGGCGAGACTGTGTTGGGAGCATGAGACTTGAGCTTAGTACCTGTAGGAGTAGGAAAAAGTATAAAGAGATCATGTGTGAAAAACTGTGAGGGAGAGTGACATGGGACATTGAATTTAGACACCGATGAGAACATCTGATACCCCCAGAATGTAACGTGATGGGAGATACGAAAACGCTTAGACATAGGATCTCAACATCGATAACCCTTATGTTCTACCCCATAACCCAAGAAGCAACACAAACGAGCTCGCGGTTCAAGCTTAGTGCGTTCGTAAGGTGGGAGGAGGACAAAACAAACACAACCAAATGGACGAAGAATAGAGTAATCGGGGGACTGAATGAAGAGCTTGTCAAAAGGAGTGACACCGTGAAGAGCAGAAGAAGGTAACGTATTTATGGTGTAGACAGAAGCAAGAGCGGTTTCTGCCCAGAAGCGATCAGGACATGAGGCATAAAGGAGAAGTGCACGAATTGTATCAAGGATGTGACGATGTTTGCGCTCTGCACGGCCATTTTGTTGGGATGTGTATAGACAAGATCGTTGAATGGAAGTACCTTGAGCAGAAAGAAAACTGAGAAGTACAGAGTCATTATACTCTAGGGCATTATCAGTCCGTAATGTATGGATAGTACGAGAAAACTGAGTATGTATCATTTTGGCAAAAGAAATATAAATAAATGTAAGTTCAGAGCGTTGTTTCAAAAAGTAAATCCAAGTAAAACAAAAAACATCATCCACAAAAATCACAAAATATTTGTATCTATTCATATATGCTACCGGTGAAAGACTCCAAATATCCGAGTGAACAAAAAAAAATGGTGTATCAACAATAGAGAGATTTTGAAAAAAAGGTAGAGCAAACTGTTTGTCAAGCTTACAGTGCATACAATCAAAAGACTCGAGACGTATGGGACCTAAGACACCTTTACTTACGAGACACTGTAGCTTTTCTATGGACGCATGACCTAACCGAAGATGCCATTAATAATCGGAATGGGAAGAGGAAACTGCAGTTGAAAAGGACGAAGAATGGGGGGTCCGAAGGTGGCTGAGCTCAAATAATCGACCCGTCTTGCGCCCCGTCCCAAGAAGCTGACCTGTCTGCGAATCCTGAACCTGCACACCAGAAGGAGAAAAAATAATAGTAAGACCTTCAACTAATTGACCAACAAAAACAAGGTTTAAGGCTAACTGCGGAATACAATCAATATCAGTAAGGGATAAGGATGGAGACGAAATATGAGCGGTGTGAGTTATGTGCATATGTGAGCCCTTAGCGGTGTGTATGGAAGGTAAGGTCGTTGTGGGAGCAGAGGAACACATAAGTTTGGTATTAGACGTCATATGATTACAACATGCAGAATCAAAATACCAACGGGTGTTACCTGGGGTTGTATGAGGATCAAAATTAGCAGAAAGAACCTTGGTAAGAAGCTTGTGAAGGTCCTGAAGAGTGGGAAGCAAGGCCACAACGGACTGTGAAACATTTGTAGCAGTAGCTACAGCAGAGGAACTACCAACCTGAGAAGAAGATCAAGTACGGTGGGGACAATTCTGAATGACATGACCCCGAAGATGGCAGTAGTGACACTCGACTCTGGGGCACTGAGTATATGGATTATCTCCATTCTTACAGCGTCGACATCTATCGGACTGAGTCTGACGAGAAATGGGACCCTGATGAGTAGGACCAGAAGACTGAGATGTGACAGCCGATGCAGAGTTCAATATAGATGACTGAGTGAATTTGAGGCAGGTCTCCTCAAACATAATCTCCTTCATAGTTGCATCTAACGAAGGAAGAGGGTGACGATGAAGTAACGAGGCACAGACAGGTTCAAATTCTGGACGGAGCTTCATAAGAAGCTGAATGAGCCGAAGGTGATCAGACTCAACGGCCTCCTGATCAATGCGATCCCAAAGAGGTAGAATGGTAGAGAAGAAGTCATTTACAGACTATCCCGGTTCATGTGTCAATTCGTTCAATGAGCTGAGGAGCTGATAGTAATGGGCAAGACCGGTAGCTTAAAATCGTGACTTCAAATAATTCCATGCTTGTTGAGCAGTGTCAATACGGCGTAGCTGAATCTGAATGGCCTGACCAAAAGTATTCCGAAACCAGGTAAGAATCAGATGATTATTGTTGTCCCAATCATCTAACTCCTCCTGGTAGGTAATAATATCTGTTGAGTTAGAGGATTATCAGAAGTAACTACAGGTTTGACAGGCGCTAAAATCTCTCGTAATAATTCTCACAATTTTCTGCCAATCAAAAAACTCTTCATGGAATCGGCCCAAAATCATAATTGTCACCCGTCAAAACAATAGCAATAGGCAAAGAAACCTCCATACGCTCCATCGAAATATTCCGAAAAAAATAAGCAGATATCAAATTCCGAAACAGTAGAGAAAAAATTGCCGAATCCAAATCTTACCATAGGGTGAAGTCGGGAATAAAATCAGGATTTCGGACGCCGAAAATGGCGGTCGGAGGTCGCCGGATAGAACAGTTACCGGCGAATGCAGGTCTAGCTCCAGGTGGCAGGACGGGCCGGCGATGGCGGCAGGATTCAGGGGTAGGCTGAACTGGATGCGGCGGAGCTGTTAGTGGTGGAGGTGATGATCGGCGGTGTCTAGACGGTGGCGGAGTACGATCCGGCAGCAGGCAGTAGAAACAATTTCTGGCTCCACGCGGTGTCACGCGCTGGCAACGGCTTTCAGGTTTCCAGCAATGGCCGGTCTTGGCGGCGCGACGACGATGGTACGGGCGGTGTCACGGCGGCAGAGGGGCTCGACGAGAATGGCACCTCTGATACCATATTGGGGATTTTGGGAAATTGAATTTTTGAATTATATTACAATAAACACAATAAACTCTACTTTATATGTACTAGGTATTTTGGTAAATATATATATATATATACAATATTATATACTCCCTCCGTCCACAGATAAAGTATACATTTACTTTTGGCGCGGAGTTTAAGAAATAATAGTATTTTAATTATAGTGAGTAGGTAAAAGTAGTGTAATGATATTTTTGCCCTTGCTTTTTGGTATAAAAGTAATGATGTGATATAAAGTAAGGGTATTTGTGGAAAAAAGTGGGGTATTTAATGAAATATTTAATTAAACGTCTCAAAATAGAAACATGTATACTTTGTAGCTGGACGGAGGGAATATATACTAACACTGTCAATGTCTTTAATTTTGTAAGATTTAGACACACAAAGAGAATATATACAAAGATGATTATATGATTTTAAAAATTCATTGTAATAGCAATCGATAAACATTAATTATAATTTCCAATTCACGTCGTTCAATTTTCCGATAAAATCTCTTATAATTTCAATCAATATACTGAAAATGCTAAAACGAGCAACCCAAACAACAACCTAAGATGAATTGAACCTTGTGACTATATATATCATTCTCTAGTGATCCAAGTCATGTCGTTCTCGAAGATCCAATGGCAAACCTCGATGCGTCCCGGGCCGTTGCCCAATGCCTTGAAGGCACTGTGGCTCGCGCTCCACGTCGATGTGTCGAGATGACAAATGGCGACACCACGATTGATCCGGACCCTTGCTCGAACATCGAGTATGTCGGCTTCGTACACTCTCACCTTGGGGACCGAATGGCAATAGTACAGTAAGAACGGATACAAACTTTGATGGCAAGAAACTGACTTTGTGACCCTACCTCCATTCATGCCTCTTACATTCCCTATCATCACCTCTCTGCTCGATCCGTTTGTGCTTTCGGTGGTCCGAACGATGATGTCTCGACCCAAAACCGTTGTTGCAAAGTCGATCATATCCTCTATTGAGGCGATGCACCGTTTGGTCTCTCCTGGGCTAGGGGCTCGTTCGCATTCGATTAGGGTGTTCATCATCGCGTGCTCCATGGTCGAGTTATCTGTTGCATGGAACACTCGTTTGATCTCTTTTATGTCGCGGGATGAAAATGGTAATTTCATGATGATTGTCCGCGGCAAGAATGACCTTTTCGGCATCCAATCTTGGATGTTAGGCATTTTTGTTATAGTCCCATTTTTTAGCATCTTCTCCCTAAAGAATTTTCCAACTTCAATGCCGTGACGGATTGCTTTACCACCGGCCCTTGGGAGCTCGCCGGGGTTAGTGTAACCAGAAAATGTAACGCCCTTTTTCGCGTAGTCTTTGAAGGTGGTGTTTGCACCGTAGATCTTGAAATCGATCGTTGGATTTGTCGCATCTTTTGCGTACTCCTTGAATGTATCGAATCCGACATTGAAGGACTTCCCATAGTTAATAAAACCAGCCTTTCCTGAATTCGACTTCTTACCATAGGATTGAAATATATCGGTCCCGGCATTGGCCGAGTCGCGATAACTATTAAAACTATCGATGCCATCGTTTCCCCCAAACCCGTAGTTCTTGAAACTATTGGTGGGGTTGTTGGCATTGCTTGTGTAGCCCTTGAAAGAGTCATTACCAGAGTTTCCCATTTCGGTGTAACCTGTGAAAGTTGATCCTACAACATTGGATGTCTTGCCATAGCTAGTGAACTCAAGTGGCACGGCATTGGCATTCTTGCCATAGCTGGTGAAAGCTTGGTTGCCTGAATTGGTATCGTCGGAGTAGCTTGAAAATGATAGCTTATGACCATTGCTATCAGAGTTGTAGGAGGCAAAACGAAGGTCCGGGACGTTGACACGTGGCATGTAGTTCTTAAAGTCACCGGAGCCTCCGGTGGCACTGGAACCATATGAACTGAAGTTAGAACTCGCCACATTTCCATCGTCCGCATACCCGGCGAACCCCTCGCGATGGCTATTTGAGCCTTTACTATACCTATCAAAATGGCTCAAATGGTTAAATATGATCTGATCTACGCATAAAAGAACTACTCATGTCTGATAAAATTTAAGGGTGGGATTTAGTTTTTGGGTTTCGATTTTTTAATAGGAAAAAGTTGAATTTGAATAGTTATTTGATGTGATATAAATAAAAGTTGAGGTGCTATTTTGAATGTAAAATAAATTTGTAGTGTAATATAATAAATATATATATTTGATATACTCTTTTTTAAGGAAAGAAAGAATCTAAGGGTGTGTTCCTTTGTAAGATTTTTGCAAAATTTTACTATTCATTAAAATTTTTTTTCTCAAAAAACATCAAATAAACACCTATTTTTTTATTTTTTATATTATACTATAGATTAATTTTTTATTCAAAACATCACATAACACCTATTTATATCACATTATACTACTATTACAATTCAAAATTTTTACTATTTAAATCCCAACTTAAAATTCAAACGTTCCAACAAACACACCCTAAATAACAAAAAGAACACAACCTAAAAATTTTATATGGTTAGAAATAGAATTTTTTGTAGAAAGCATTTAAAATAATTTTAAATATCACTAACAACTTAATACTTTTAAATAAGATAATCATTTAAACTATTAACAACAATGTAGCTAAAAAATTTTTACAAAGTATTAAAATTTAACATTTTTTTTTATGATATAGTCTATTAATTATTACTCCTTTTATTTAGTGCAGCTGCTAAAATTTTAGATTTTATTTGAATAAGAATTTAGTTAAAATATTAAAAAATTAAGTATTTTATATTATTGTCGTGGGAGAAAAAAGTATTTGATTAATAGAATCTTAATTAAACATAATTTAAACTTTTGGGATAGAGAGTAAATGTCTATTTAATATATTTAAACGGAATCTTGATTAAATTTTTAAGAAAACATCTACGGTAAAACTTATAATCTGCTCTGAATTCAGTCGGGTCTAAAACTCAAAATTTACAATTTTTCCTGAATCAAATTTTTTAGATCCGAACTCGTCCCATTAAAACCGGGTCGGGGCTAACCCGTCCCATTTGACATCCCTACATCTACTGAATTATTATCTATGTTTTGGAGGGAATTTGAATTAAATTTACATACAATGCTACAATGTTTAGATAAAAAGTGATTTCAATACCGTGCAAAGGCACTGGTTGCGAAGTTAATTCCATCGGAATAGTTCTTGAACTGATCGAGGCCGCCTAAACCGGAGCTTCCATAGCTGGAAAACTGCTTATTTTTGTAGAAAGCAAAGTTGGAGTCGCCGGGGTGGCTTTCAGGTGCAGGTCGCGAATCGAGCAAACAAAATAGCCGAGCAGCGGAGCAGAAGGCGGATAGATGAGAGTCGAGGGATTTTTGGTTGATAAGTTTGGCGAAGAATGCAGACTGAGTGTGTGACAAAGGGGAGGCTTTGGAGATCAAAAAAGGAGATATGGAGAGATTATGTGAAATGTGGTTTTTCCAATACCTAAGAACTGAGGCTTTGGATGTGAAAGGATTTGTTGTATGTTTTTGGGAAGCAGCCAATGTGAGAATCTGTGAGAAATGAGACAAGTGAAGATAAGACAAAAGGATATTGATTAGCAATGTAAAAACAGCCCATAAAAAAGAGTGTTGTGATAATAAACTTACAGTTTTGGAGCATGAGAGTGATGATAAGAACAAGAATAAGATTAGGGTTTTGTCCATTTTCAGCTGTTTTGAGTAAGTTGACAAAGTAGTTAGAGGGAGAGATGTTTGTGTTTTTGGTGAAGACAAATGGATACTATATATATAATTGTATGTATAGATAAGAAAGACATTCCTATTTTTTATTTTTTTTATTTTGGATTTTCGGTTTGATTTTTAATTTAAATGTTATTAAATATTCCCTCCGTCCCAGAAAAATGTCTGATTGAGAGTGGACATCAAAATAGTTTAATTAAAAGTGGGTATAAAGTAGAAGGCAAAAGACTAAAATACCATAACTTTTTGAATAATTTTAAAAAGTATATTAAAGTAATAATTAGGGGTAGTTTGGAAAAGTAACAATAATTTTGTTATAAAGTAGAAACCACAATTACTAAATAAGAAAACAAGACGAAAATGGAAAAACAAGACAACTCTATTGGGACGGAGAGATTATAATATTTTATGAAAATAATACTTCCTTCGTCCCTTCCAAATCAAATGTGTTTTTTAAAATTTTATAATAGATTAAAAAAATAATATTTTATTAGTTAATGGTATTTTAATATTAATATGTAATTATTTTTTTATAATAAAAAAAAATATATATTAAAATGGGACAAAGGATAATGATAGAAAATGTATTTTGAATAGGACGGATGATGAAAAGAAAGAGGGAATAGTATATTTTATCAATGAAATCATAAAAAGTAGTGACGAAAAAAATCCAAACCAAGCAAAGAAAAAAAAAAGGTATATTATTTTCACTTATGCAATAAATGAATTTATTTGTAAAAAATATTTCATTGCTCTATTAATAGTCATTTTTATTATAAATATTGACCTCGTTTTGTATTTTCGGATGAATTTATTTTCAATTTTATATATAAAAAAATTATATTGATAATACAAAAAATAATACTTCCTCCATCATTCAAATTTATGCTCACTTTTTTTTTTTTTTAAGTTGTCATAAAAAAATATTCTCGTTTCATTTTTAAGTAAGAAATTATTACACTTTTATACCTGTTTTTTACTATAAAATGAAAAAACAACAATTATTACTCAATTTTATTAAAATTTATATCCGATCAAATAAGCACACGATAACGAAAGAAGTATTTTATATTTAATTATTAATTTTTTATTAATATATCTTTAATATTTTTCATAATATATATAGAACATCGTGTCACTTAAAAAGCACAAATCAACAAACTCATTGTTTTCCGTACTTTGTTTTTTTTATTACATAAAGACGTTTATGTTTAATTATGTTTCAGTTTCAAGTTTCTCATATACAATCCATGATTTTTTTTAAAGGCATTACGTGTAATACATCTATTTTTTATTTTAAGGTCTGACTTTAAAATAATACTCACTCCGTCCTATTTTAATTTTTTTTTTTTTTTATCTCACTTCAATGTATCACATTCATATTTTAGAAAAAATAATCATATCCTAGTATTAAAATATTTTTAATTTTTACTTAAATTACAAATATATCATTACACATACAAAATTATATTGTACATAATGACAAAATTTCAAAATCTCTTACACACTTCTACTTACAAGTAAAATATTATTATTTCTTAATCTACTACTAATACAAAATTCCAAATGACCTCTTTAAATGGACCGAAGGGAGTATTATTTTTAATTTTTTAAAAAATTTAAATACAAAACTAAAATAAATAAAAGGTAAGTAAATATATTATTTTTCAATCCAAATATTTACATTGCAAAAAAATCTAACCTATAAAAAAATAGGTCAAAATACAACAGAAACAAAAATAAAAATTGTTAATTAAAAAAAATAAAATTAACAGCCTTATTGTATATTAAGATTTCTCAATCTATCTTTTGATATTCGCTTTATAACTATTATTCAAGAAATTATATTTAATAATAATTTTTATAAATGATATTCATTATTTATTTATGTATATTATACCAAAACACAGTAATAATAATGGTTTCGTTCACGCAACGTTTTTTTAATGAAATGATTTCTGTGCGGTAGTACGTAAAATTGTGTCAAAAATATAAAAGATATTTCTTCTGTTCCGGAAAAGATAATTTTATTTTTTTTTGGCATGTAAATTTAGTTAATATAGATTAGTTATTTATATAGAGATAATTAGTTATTTAATGATTAAAATAAATTTAAAATTTATGGTTAAATAATTTTAACATTATATCTCGATAAAATATATACAATAAATATATTATTTTGTAAAAAATAAAATTTTTATATAATTAAAATAACTAAATAATAATTTATATATTTATTACTATCATAAATTAGTTTTATAAAAAAAATGGAGAGTTTTAAAGATAAATAAAAATATTTATTAATGGAGGAGGAAAATAAAAATAGATGAATCTTGAGTGGATCTAAGAGGTAATAAATTTAATTTAATATAATTTATATTTGATAAGTGTGTTTCACATTTATAAATTTACTAAAAATATAAACAGGTAACTTTTGTGAGAAGGATAAAAAAAATGTGTCATCAGTGGCGGGACGAAAGAAGTATTATTTTATGTCGAACATTTGACTTTTTGAATTTTTTTTAATGACTTTTTATAACGAGTATCTTGACGTTTTGACATTTGTATAAAATATTGTACTCTTTCCGTCATTCAAATGTGTATTTATTTGATCGGACACGAATTTTAATAAAATTGAGTAATAATTGTTATTTTTTCTTTTTATAATAAAAAAAATATAATTAAAAAAAAATAAAAATATTTTTTTAATGATAATTAAAAAGAAAAGTATGCGTAGATTTGAGTGACTGCGGAGTATTATTATAATTATTTTGGGAAATTGTAATTAAAAATGATGTTGAAAAAACAGAGGGAATAAATAAGGGTGATTTTCTTTATATTTGCTCTCTTTTAATTAATTTTATCGAATTGTCTTGTTAAAGGAAGCAAGTGGTAAAAGATTCTCACTTTGTTTAATATTGCATTCTGTCTTATTCAGAGAAGCATTAAGGTGGATAGATGTCTGTGTCAGACAGATTCAAATCTCGCGTAATAAATTAATAATAATAATAAAAACAATAATAATAATATTCCCTCCATTCCACGTAATTTATCCCTATTTTCTATTTTTATTTGTCCCACGTAACTTGTCTTTTTTATTTTTGGAAATATAATTATGCATTTTAATCACATTTTAAATTTTAAATTTTATAATTTTTTTTAATTTTAATTAAATTATTTACTTATTTTAATTTTAATCTATAATTATTTTTACTAAATAATAATTATTTTTACTAATTAATTTCTTAATTAATTACTAATTATATTTTACCTAAATTTCCGTGTTACAGTAATACACGCATATTATGTAGGATGGAGGGAGTAATTGCTATTGTTATTACTAATTAATAATGTTACTACCTATATGCCTTTCCTACTATGTTTATAACTTTTTACTATTTTTTGCTTAAATATATTTAGTAAATCATAGTTACAATGATAGAATTAAAAGAAAAAAAATAAAAAAATGAAATTCATGGATAAGATTACAAGAGTGTGTTGGGTAATATCATTTTTCTTCTTTGTTTGAGTTAGAAAAATAAAATTTAAAAAATAAATTATTTTTATTTGTCTATTTTCATTTGTCTCCCACATGCAGAGAAATTGAAAAAAAAAAATGATGTTATAGTATATTTATTTTTATCTTTTTCTGTACTATTTAATTTTAATACTTTTTTTAAAAGAAATTATAGTATTTTAATTTTCAAAAATTAACTTTAATTAAAGTATTTAATTTTTATGATTTTGTAAGAAATTGTGCTAAGATATAATATTAAAAACATCATATATAATTTATAATATTTTTTAAAAATATCACCAAAAATATTTTTCATGAATTTTCATTAATTAAAACTCTTTTTTTTTAATTCCGTTAATAATTTATTCTTGTTTGATCTATTTATATAATTGTATTTTTTTTTTTTTTTTTTTGCATTTTTCAATTGAATTCTTCATTTTACTAAATAAGAGAATTAATTTTTTTTTTTATTTCTCTTCAATTTTATTCTCTTTACTAAACGTCACCTAAAATAAAATAAAATAAAAAAGTATTCATGGAATTAAATTTTGAATATTGTAAATTAAAAGTAACTTTAAAAATTTTGAGATGATTGTATTGTTTTTACAGCATTCAGTGCTGCGTGCGTTTGCATATGCATATGGATGAGTAGCACTGTGAATGGAGTCAGGAATCTTAAAATTTTGGTCCAAAACCAGACACGCATATAGGCTATAGCAACTAAAAGTGAGCCCTAATTTTGGATAATTCTTAGAAGATACCAGGACCCCAACTCCAGATGCATCCACACCATTGATGGTGTGAGATTAACGGTTCCGATTTAATTAATTTTACATCTTTGGGACAATCGACTGTTACAGAGTGGAAGCATGCATGAAAAAGCAAGAATATAATAATCAATCGGTTGCTTTAGGTAAAAGACCGACAAAACAAACCCCACCCCATTCTCTCTTTTATTTATTTATTTATTTTTTAAATGGTGGATGGTAAGAAAAGTAAAAATATGTTCTAAATTAATTGGGAAACTACTTCAATATGGTTGGGTGTAGAGCTGTTAAACAAATCGAGCGGTTCGTGAATTCGGCTCGGTTCGGTTTGATTCGACTCGGTTAAAGCTTGTTCTAGAATGTTAACGAGCGAGCCGAACAATATAAACAAACTCGTTTGATTAACGAACGAGTCCGAGCATTGTCCGCGAATGTTCGCGAACTGTCGTTTAAATAATATATTTATTATAAATATTATATATACATATAAAATTATAATTTATAAATAAATAAAATATTAATTTAAAATATATAAATAAAATAATTTAAATTTTCTTTATAATTTATATATAAATTTAAAAAAATAAGACAAGCGAGCTCGAACGAACTTAATCGAGCCAAACACGAACACAAACTCAAACAACAAAAATTCTTAACGAGCCGAGCTCAAACACTACGAACGAGTTCGAAAGCTTAACGAACGAACACGAGTCTTATTCGCGAACGTTAACG